AGCAGGTGGCAGGGGCTGTCCCCATGGCTCAGAGCATCCTCTGGCCGTGGTCATGGCCTTGGCCAGATCCTGCTTCCCAACCCTGCTCCTCAGCAGCCACCCAAGGGTGCGCTGAGCTGAGCTGGGTCTCTGCTCCAGGGCACTGCAGTGACCGATGCAGCATCAAGCTCTTAATGGGATTTTGGGGGACGCGTGTTCTATGTGGTCCTGTTTAACTATCCCTTCCCTCTGGGATCTGCAGGCTTAACATGCCTTGCTCTCCAGCCTGAGCTCGCCATGGAAAGCCAGTGGAACAGCAGCTGCCCCCTCCCATACATCAGCAGCAGGGATTTGTTGCTCCCTCTTTGGGAAAGCCTCAGCACTTGTCCTTGGCCTTGGGGTGCCTTCACATGGCCCCCCTCAACTCAGAGCTGCCCCGAGGCTTGGGCACAGGGCTTTCACCTCACTGGGGGGAGCAGCCCCCCTGCTTTAGGGGTGCATCCACTTCCTAAGGGCACCACATAGCCTCTGGGACACAAGCCATGGGCAGGCAGGTCCCCAGCTCTGCCCATCACCCTGCCCTGGCTGGAGGGTGCTGCCTGCACCAGGAGCCTGCAGCCCGAGGTGGGGCATGTGGGGACCCAGCTTCCCTGTGCCACAAGCATGTTCCCCCCTCAGTTCTCCTTGGCACAAGCCCACGCATGACATCCCCCTTGCCCCATCGGTGGCTTCCTGTCCTCATCCCAGACCTGTTCCCGGGCAGCGAGCCCCTCATTCCCCCCAGTCACCCCGGTTGCTCGCTCGTGTGCATGTCCCCCCCGTGCCACCCTGCTCCCACCTTCACCATGTGCCTTCTGGTCTCTCCCACCACGCAGGCGCCGTGCCGGACTCCTGCCCCATTAACATTGAGGAATAGGTATGAGACACCCAGAGCCTGTGCCCGCCTCGTGCCTGGTCACCTCGGGGGTTTGGTGCCCCTGGCAGTCCCCTTGCTGGGTGACACCCCAGCCTACCCTGCAGCCCCCATGGGGTGTCTGTAAGTGCCCTTTTACTGGGCATGGGGGGCAGAGGCAGCCCCCCTCCATTTGGGTTGTTAAAACCCGGCCGTGGTGCACTGTGCTTCCCATTTGCCCCTCAGCATTCCTGAGAAATCAGAGGTTTAAGGGGCTCCCCTGGTTTGGAGAGGTAAGTACAGGCACCCGCTAGCCCTCACTGCAGCTGAAACCCAATATGGGGGGCTGGGGAGGTGGGTGTCCCTTGGGGAGACTGTATTGCACCCCATGGGAAGATGCCCAAGGGTGCCGTGGCTTTGGCAGCCCCTAACCCCCTGTTTTCTCACCCCAGGCCCAGAGGCAGCCAACAACAACGTGCGGCTGCAGCAGGCGCCCCGGCCCCGCTGCCCCCCCGGCCCCCAGGACCTGGAGCAGGCAGCGGCCACCCCTGTGTGAGGGCTCAGCCTCAGCCGGGGCACACGCACCCCCTGTGCATGCAGAGGGCTCCGGGCACCGCCGGCATCGCCACCTCCCTCCCCGGCTGTGGCGGGACTGCTTTTCCAAAGAGAAGATGGTAACGGGGGCTTTTCCTGCCCGGCTCCGCTGTGCAGAGGGGGGCCGAGAACCGCATCACTTCAGAGCCCCCCCATCAGCACCTTCCCATCCTCCAGCCCTGATGGGGATGGGCTGGGGTCCCCTCCTGCCCCCAGCCATCTCACACCCATCCCCAGGCCTCTCTCCTCCAGTGTGCAGAGCACATGGGATGGGGTCACCCCACAAAGGGGGTCCTGGGACACTGTCAGAGGTGGATGATGCCCAGGGGTGCAGGTTAAGGATGAATGTTGGCATTGGCATCCTCAGTACACAAGCCAGTGACCTTCATGGGGGGCTGGCACCCCCCCAGGTTTGCTGACCCCATGCTGTGGGATTGTCCCCATTGTGCACTGGTGGTGATGGTGCCCCTGGAGCTCCCCGTCCCTCTGCTCTCCACCCTGGGCACGTGGGCTCTTGGGCCTGTCCCAGGAGGTTGCTTTTCCCCAGGGGATGGAGCGGGGTGGACAGGGGACCTGGGACACTCCCCCCCCGGTCACCAGCCCCAGGGACATGGCCAGTTTAACCTCACTGTCTTCCACCCGCTGGGGGCGCGGGGCTGGGGCTGTGCCCTCTCTCTGGAACAAGTGCCAAACGTGTCACCCCTGGCCTGCCCTCTCCATCGCACTTTGTAGCAGGGCGTGGATGAGGGTGTGGGAGCTGCTTCCCCATCCCTCCATCCCCACTCCTCCAGCCCCATCCCTCTGGCCAGCCCTGGCCTCCCTGCATAAGTGGGTTTTGCTCCGGGAGACAGGAACACAGGGACAGCAGTGGGGTAGGGGCACAGCCACAGAGTTCGAGGACCTGATGGAGCCATTGGCAGAGGCCAGGCTCCACTCCAGAGAGCAGCAGGAAGAGGCAGAAGGCACCCTGAGGAGCATCAGACCCAACACCGCAATCCAGCAAGCTCTGGAGCTGTTTGAATGAGCCCAGGGGGGAGGTTGAGCCCCGCTTCTTCCCCACCTGGTTTTCTCAGGCAGATGTGACAGCAAAGGCCACCTCTTCTTTGCAGAAGGAAGCTGCATCTCAGAGCTCCCTTAGGACAGAGATGTTCATCTACTGAAAGCAACATCCCCCAGCATGCAGGGAGCACGTCCCCACCACTGTCCCTGTGGTGCAGCACAGGCCATGCTGATGGCTGTTGCTGCTAAAGGGAGATAAAGCCCTTTTTGGGGCTGGGAGGTGTTTGCTGCTCACTTCATGTCCCTCACTTCCTAGTGTGGGTCCTGCTGGAGGTGGGGTCAGCACTGGCCACCCTCCTCTGCTCTGGCGCCCCACTGACTCCTGTAAGCTCAGCAGCTCCCAGATTCCTCCCTGGAAACTCAGGGCTGGGTGCTTGATGGGGGGAGACATCTCCATCTGTGGGGTGGGAGCTGCTGCCACTGGGGAACTGTGGTGGGGAAGAGCCTTGCAGCCATTCAGGGGCATGGTGTGTGGCCCGTGGGGACACACTGCCCAGTGCCATGGTGGGGCAACCCATGGGGTTTGGGAGTGCTGGCCCCAGGAGCCAGCAGCACCATACTGGGCACAGGGAGAACTTTAGGGGTTCACTGCCACACTGAGCTGAGAGGACTAAGGGCGCTGTGGGAGGCTGGCTCTTCCCTAACCCCCAGCATGGAAAAACCAGGATGATGCTCCAGGGGTGGCTCAGCTACCAAAGCCAAACCTTCCTTGTGGCTTCAAAGGGGACCAGTAGAGCTCTCCAGGCCTGGCATCACAGTGTAGGGCTGTGGCAGTGCTTGTGGCTGCTGGCAGGTCAGGTCAGGTCCTTGCTCAGGAGGGTCCCTGGAAGTGTCCTGGAGGGTTTTCTGGCTGCTCTGAGCTGTGTGTCCCCAGGGTAGCTCTCGGGGTGGCTGTCCCATGTCCCATCCCACAGCTGGTGGCATGCACATGGTGGTGGAGAGGAGCCAGGAGGAGCAAGCAAAGAAATGAGCATCCTCCGCCTGTGGCACAGGAGAGATGGGATTTGAGTGCAGGTGACACCAGTGCTGTCCTCAAGCCACACGGAAGGGACAAGGGGCAGGCAGGAGCTGCTGGTGAAAGGCAATAGCCCCTTGTTCCAGTGATCCAGCTGTCAGGGATTTAGGGAAAGAAACCAGATTGCTGCTGCTGAACTCTGCTTTGAGCATGTTTTGGATTTTCAGAGTATGTTTAATAAAGGGCATCTTATGTCAACAAAGCATCCAGAGTCCTTCCGTGGTGACAAGGTGAGAGCAGCTGGAGACCTGGTGGGTGGAAACACTCTTTGGGTGGGAGCATCCACCCAGGAACCTTTAAAAGCTTCCAAAAAGGTCCCTTCCATCCCCCCCTGCCTTCCCCAAGCACTGTGAGGATGAGAAGGTGCAAATGCAAACAAAGCCTCTGCAGGAAGGGGCTGGGCTGCGGTGTGGATGGCCAGGCAGATGGTCCCTGGCACTGCTGGGATGGATGAGGACACCCAGAGGAAACTTTTCCTGGAGAAGAGCTGGGTCCTCCTGCAGGAGAAATCTCTCAAGTACGGGGGAGGAAAACTCATGCTGGGGGCTGATACCTGAAAGGTGAGGAGGGCCGTAAGGGGGGTTAGAATGTGGTTTGAGTGGAGGGGGTGATGCACAATGGGGGAATAATAGAAGCATGGAATGGTTCGGGTTGGAAGGAACCTTAAGCCCCATCCAGTTCCAATCCCCTGCCCTGGGCAGGGACACCTTCCACTTGGTTGCTCCAAACCTCGTGCAACCTGGCCTTGAACACTGCCAGGGATGGGGCAGCCACAGCTTCTCTGGGAACCCTGTGCCAGTGCCTCAGCACCCTCCCAGGGAAGAGCTTCTGCCTTACATCTAACCTGAACTTCCCATGTTTGAACCCCTCACCCCCTCTCCTGTCACTACAGTCCCTGTTGAACGTCCCTCTCCAGCATCCTTGTAGCCCCCTTCAGACACTGGAAGCTGCTCTGAGCTCTCCACGCAGCTTCTCCAGGCTGAACAGCCCCAACTTTCTCACCCTTCTCCATACAGGAGGTGCTCCAGCCCCTGATCATCCTCGTGACCTCCTCTGGGCTTGCTTCGGCAGCTCCATGTCCTTGTTATGGAAGCACCTTGCAGCTGCTGGGGAGGGCTTGAGGTGGCCAGATCCTGCAAAGGGAGAGGAAGAGAACTGAGGCCTGTGGGGCTGTGCCTGGGCTGCTCAGGAAAGCCCTTGAACTCTGCCTTACGGAGCATTCCTACAGGAGCAGGTCTTGCTCCCGAGGGAACTGACTTGTCCAGAGGGCAGGACCCAGAGCTTTGGGATGGGTGTTTGCTGGATATTCACCCCTGAGAAGTGGAACAGAAACTTTCACTCCCCTGGGAGCTGCCTCCTCGCTCCTCCACCGGGGACGGGCAGGGGCAGAGGGGAATCTGGGGAGACGCTCTGACACCTGCCTCCCCCCCAGCTTGTCCTGCCCAAATCGCTGGGGATCCTGGCAGGAAATCCACTTAATGTACACACGCTTCAGCCCTCGAGAGTGAGTCTGCCTGCTCCCAAACCCCCTTTCCCTGTGGGCAGACACAGGAGGGGCCTTTAAACCTCCCCAAGTCCCCCCAAGCCCCCCACTTCTCAAAGGGCAGAGTCTTGTGCTGTGGGGTGGAAACAGGCTTCCCAAACAGGCTTCTCTTGGGATTCACGGCTGCTCCCTTCCCCCTTGGTCAGGGAGGGGGTCCCTCACTGGGATCCTTTGGGCTGCTGGAGGAGGGAACACTGAGATTTCTTATAGAAGCATATAGCTGTAATAACTGTAACTAAGAAAGGGGGACCCCTCCCTTTAATCTGGGGGGCTGCCAGCCCCCTGTCAGCTTTGCTGTCATCGCTGTGGACTCCTTCAGGGGTCAGAAGCAGGATGGGGGCACAGACAGGGGGAAAAAGGATGGGTCTGCCCCCCTGCCAAGCCGAGGGGGGTGGCCCGCATACAGTTTTGGGGTGTGCTGGTGCTGTGCTGGGGTGCGGTGGAGCCCCGCAGCATCCCTGGGTACCACAGACCTGCCCACCTCCAAACTGCGAGCATCCCCAGCCAGGCCTCTGGCCCCTAAATGGCCAAATCTCAACCTAAAGGGGCGGGTCCCCTCCGGCTCCCCATGACAACGCGGGGACCAATGGCAGGCCCGGAAGCTGTTTACGGGGCGGAGCGTCACCGTGACAGCGGGAGAAGCCTTTCGGAGCGGCTCCTTAACGGCAGCCCCCGGGGAGCCGGGAAATCACGGCGGAACCGCACCGCCACCGGGCGGGAGAGCGGGACCCGCAGCCCCCCCCAGACGCATCTCGGCACCGCCGCTCCGCTTTTCTTTATGTTATTTTTCTCCTCCTTTTTCCCTGTTTTCCCCCGATTTTCCCCAGTGCTTTTTGCCCTCCCGTGAACTTCGGAAGCTCCGGGGACATCGCCGGGCCGGGTAAGAGCTGCGGGGTTGCGGGGGGGGAGCGCCCGAGGGTGCGGTAGGTTTGCCCGGGGGGGTGTGTGGATGCGGCTGTGCTGTGTCTCTGTGCCTGTCTCTGGCTGTGCTTATCGTCCTGGGATTTACTCCCATTTCCATCCTTTTTACGCCCCCCAACGCACGAACCGCAACGAGCGCCTCCGGTCCCACTGACCCCGCCGCGAGCGCAGGGGCTAGGGGGGGGACACTGGGACCGGAGCATCCCAACCCGTAACCGCTGCCCCCTGAGCCTTTAGCTCGGGATTGGCCGGGGGAGCCCGTCTGCTTGGAGCGAGGCCGGGGTTCCACTGTCCCCGCCCCCCGGTCCCGCGCCCCGTCCCGCGCTCCCTGCGGCCGTTGAGCAGAACCGGATTCGAACCTTGCCGAAGCCGGTGCGGTCGCGCCGCTGCGGGTCACACAGGAGAGGTTCCTCGGGTCAGAACCTCAGGATTTCGGGGGTTCGAGCCCAGCAGCGAAACCAGACACTTGCTCCTGCCCTGGCAATAACCGGCGCTCGAATCTACCGGCTGCTCTGAGTGAGGGTGTGCTTGGGGGAGAGTTCCAGGGGCGGGTTAGGAAGGCCAGGGGAGGGGGGCAAGCAGCAACAGCCCAAACCCGAGGGATGCTGCTGGTGGGGATGGTGATGGTGATGGGGAATTGAAGATGTTTTGTCGAGGGTTTGGACATTGAGGTTTTGTCCTGCTAGGGGCAGATGGAAAAGCATCCTCCCTTTGAGGGATGCAGTTTGTTGTTTAAAGGGGGTGTAGGTGTTATTTATATATAAATAATTATAAATATTAATAATATTTAATTAAATATTTATAAATATTTAAATAAATGTTTATAAATAAGTTTTATATATTTTAAATAATTTTTTATAAATGTTTATTTATAATTATTCGATTTATAATTAAATATTTATTTATTTAATTTATTTATAAATAGATGTGGTTTTCAGCCCAAGGCTTGTGCTGGGACACCCGGACTTGGGCATGCTGGGGGGGGGGGGGGGGGGCTGTGGTGCAGCAGTTTGAGGAACCTTCCCCGAGGTTCAGGCCTGCTGAAGCACTGCAGGGGAGTTGATGTGGCTGCAGCACGCAGCACCCTGGGGATGGGGCTCACCCAGCAGCACCCAGAGCACCCAGGCCCCAGTGCCAGAGAGTGGCTGCACCTTGGGGACTCTCCAACTCTCTCCCTGTTGTTGCTGCAGGATCTGCACCATCTCCTCCGTTCTGTACCTGCACACCCGGGAAATGCAGAACCCAGGGCAGAACCAAGGCGTGGCTGATGTGTGGTCCAAAGGCGTGCGGGAGAGGAGGGAGAGATTAAAGAATGGCACCTTGGCTGCGTTCGATGCACTGGATGACAGCCTGACCAGCCTCATGTGGCTCCCGGACTTCTCCATCACCAGTGCCAGCGTGGGCAAGTCCTCCTGCTGCCTCACTGGGCCGGACCACCATGACTCTCAGAAGATCCCCAGCTTTGCTGCCCCGTGCTCACCCCTGGCCGCTGACCTGGCGTGCATGGGCATGTCCCACACCCCCTGCAAGCCCATCTCTTCGTCCACCTCCAGGACAGCACACACCACCATAGCCTTGAACCCCCAGTTCAGGGAGGACATCGACTTCAAGACCAACCCACAGGTCAAGCCGCCCTATTCCTACGCCACCCTCATCTGCATGGCAATGGAAGCCAGTGGGAAACCCAAGATCACCCTGGCTGACATCTACAAGTGGATCACTGAAAATTTCTGCTACTTCAGACATGCTGATCCCACCTGGCAGGTAGGAGATCTGGAGACCTCTTGCCCTGTCCCCTCTGCTTGCAGGGCTGAAGAGGGCTTTTCACAGCCTCCACCATTGCAAGGCAAGGTCCCACTGGGATGCTGGATCCCACTGGGAGGACAGCTGGTGGGGAATGGCTGTAATAGGGGCACAGAAATACCACAACCACGAGGGCAGCAGAGGGAAGGAGCCATTACAGGGGAGAACCCAGGGCCATTTGGGGAGCAGGGAGGTACCTGCTAGTCCCTGCGACTCCTCTTGGCTCTGGCGGGAAGATGTCTCTGTCCCTGACTCCACCTTTCAGCATTCTTGTGGGGTCCTGAGTCTCTTGGGGCTGAACACGTGTGAAGTCACCAGGGTGAGTATCTCTGGGTGCTGAGGACCAGGCGTAGCAGAAGGATGGAGAAGACCCTTGGGGAGATGCTGCTTGCTGGACAAATCCATCCTTGAGGAGGTTCAGAGCAGAAGTGCTGCTGCTTTCCAAGCAGGGCAGGTCTCCAGTCCATCACTGTAAGGGAAGCCCAAGAGAGGTCAAACAGGGCTGCTGTCTCCAGCTAGCACCAGCATGTCCCCATTAGGTAGAGGAGAGCCTCTGGGCTCCCCAGCTTTAGGGACAGCCTGGAGCACAGGGGCTTTCTCAGCCACCTTGGCTCACTGCCTTCCTGTGTCACACGAGGGGACCTCTGGCATGTGTGGTTTGGAGGATGCGGCAGGGCAGGAGGGACCTGGTGGCTCGTCCCTCTGCTCGGGTTATTCCCAGCCCAAATCCACAGTGTGCCAGTGATCCTGGCAGTGCTGTTACTCAGGCAGGGCTGGGCAAACCAGCCCACCTTGTCCCACCTCTGGTTGGGTTAGACAGGGGACAAGAACACTGCTGGTGACTCAGGGGAGTTTCTGCTGGCCATGTAGCCCAGGATGCCCTGATGTTCCTGATTCTGCCTTCTTTTCCCCCAAGGTCCTTGCTGAAAACACATTTGTCCACCCATCTCCCCATGCAGGTAGGTGCCGGGGCAGCTGACCAACATTCAGCCTCTTTCTCTTTTTGGTTCTAGAACTCCATCCGGCACAACCTCTCCCTGAACAAGTGCTTCATCAAGGTGCCTCGGGAGAAGGGGGAACCAGGGAAAGGGGGGTTTTGGAAGCTGGACCCCCAGTACGCCGACCGGCTCAAGCACAGCGCCTTCAAGAAGCGGAAAGTGCCCCCGGTGCAGATCCACCCCGCCTTCACCAAAACCACCCAGCAGGATCCACCCTGTACCCCCAGCTCATCCCCTTCGGTCTGCACCTCCAGGAACATCCCCAACACCCACACGGAGTCACAGCAGCTGCTGAAGGAGGTTGAGGAACTCACCAAGAGCCAGAGCATGAATCCAGGGGGTGCTGAAGTGGGGTGCAAGCGCAAGAAGCCCCTGCCCAACCAAACGGCCAAGGTAGCTCGTGTGTGCAGCTCTCCCTTGCTGACCCAGGAGGAGCAGACGGAGCTGGGGTCCCTCAAAGGTGACTTTGACTGGTCAGCCATCTTTAATGCCAACATCAGTGAAACCTTACCAGCTTTTGAAACTCTGGAGCTGCCACCTCCAATCGGCCCCATTACAGCTGATGTGGACTTGGAGGCACAGGGCCCCATCGACTGTCCCCAGGGGCAGGAGCAGGCCCTCACTACATATAACCAACCCAGCCCAGAACTGGATGAAGCCTTTCTGGCTGCAGCTTTCTTGGACAACCCCTGGGATGAAGGCACAAACGACTGCCTCTCCAACTGTGTCAGCATCAACCAGGTCTTTGAAGCCTGTGACGCTTCTCTGCCAGCAGAGGAGGGCGAATGCAGCAGCCTCACAACCCTTCTATGACCCCAGTCCCCATTTAAAGCCCATGCAATTTCCTTACCTTTTTTCCTCGCTGTTTCTCTCCCCTTGTTCACAGTGTTTGATAGGTACCGTATATAGCAGCCAGTATATGTCCCTTATGGCTTCTGGAGTTCAGGCTCCCTCCTGACTTGTGCCTAGGGAAGAATAAAAGGTTTATCAGTTCACCAAGGCTGCCTCTTTAGACGGTTTTATATTATCTATTCTATATTAGATAACAGAGAATATATTTTGGTGTGTGTTTGTTTTGCCGGAAGATGGCGGCGGTGTTGGCGGCCGCCCTGCGGGTCCGGGCCCGGTGCGGGCCGCACAGGTGCCGCTGCTGGCCTGGCCCACGCCGAGGGCCCTGTGGTGGTGATGGCGGGAGGGGGGGGGGCGCTGCGGGAGCTGCTGGGCCCGGCCTTGGAGCGCGGGCCCCGCGCGGTGCTGCTGGTGCTGGAGGACAGGCGTGGAGGGGACGTCGAGGGGCGGTTCTAGGCCGAGGGCTGGGGGGCTCGCGGCTCCTTCCCGCGGGCCGATGTCCATCGCCGGGTCGCCGCTGTGTTCCGGACGCCGGCGTTCCTGGGTCCCGGCTTCCGGCGGCCCAGGAGCGCGCCTGTGGAGCTGCGGCGCCCGTTCGGGCGGCGGCGCGGCGCGGCGGGGCCGTGGATCTCTGCTGCCTGCCCCGTCAGGAGGGGAGGACCTGCAGTGCATTGAGGAGAAGCACAAGCGCACCCGGGATACTTTCCGCTCCGTCGTGCAGCGCAGCCCAATGCCCGGGCAGGGCACTGGGGGGTACTGGAGCCACAGGGGTGTATTTGGGGTCCCTGGGGGTATTTGGGGTCTCGAGGGTGTTATTGAGGTTTTAGGGGGGTATTGGCTGTTTTACGCACACCCCCTTGTCGTGGGGAAAGAACTCACGTGCCCTTGCGAAGTTGGGAGCTATGCTGGTGGTGGCTTATGCTTCCGGTAGGGTTTCCCATGCCAGTCAGGTGTCAAATGAAGGGTCAGACAAAGTGTGTCCATGGGCAGTGATAGCGGAATAGACCCCACAAGTTGGTTAAAGCTGTAAAGTAGGTATGCTTTATTCAGCTGAAGACGCACGGGGGATTGCTCCTCCAAAAGGCATGCGTGCCTCAGTGCCGTTTTTCTTCTGCATTTATCCTGTAAAGTCATACATATTCATATTCTATCCCCGCTTCGGATTATAATGAGCTAAAAGGCTCTCCACGCATGCGCAGCGCCTCCTGGTGGTCTTGGGCAGGGGTCTTCAGATGAAGTAAGTAGTCTTCCTCTTGTGGGTAGGGGTCTTCAAGATGAAGTAAACGAGTCTGCCTCAGGCTTTAACTCTTTACCTCTGGTCCTCACGCCTGCTCTTTAGGAGCTGGATGGGCCTGGTCTATGTCCAACTGGTTTAATGAGCTATTCCCTTCGTTAGGAAGCTTTATCTTAGTACTGCCTGATAAGACATCTGCTGAGCTCGTTAAACCAGCTATGACTTAAGCAGTACCCCCCTGTACATTTTGTCTAACCCCCTGTACACCCCCCCTGTACACAATAGGCCACATCAGTTTCAATTCCCCCCTTTTCTATAACATAAGTAAATTCTTTTACTTAAGAGGTACCCAGGTGCCTTCAATGGATTTGCGAAACATGTTCGATACACATTGGATTAAGCATGGAATTGTCATTAAGTCATTTTGTCAAGACTGTGTGCCCCCTAGAATCACAGTTAATCCTGTAATTATTTTCATCATTCTTCGACCTCTCGCTGGTTATAATTGCAAACAAGAGAGAAGTATTAAAGCTTTAAGCAAGAAGGTTAAAAATATCATCAACACAGTCTTATTAATTTGCAGTGTTACTTGTTACGGATTAGCTTTAATTTCAGTTCATTTTCAGTTTGGATCGCTCTCCAGGGTGTCTTCGGAGCTTTCTTAAATCGAGTATGATGAATCCAGGCGTTCTGTTCCTTAATCTTGATAGCTGTGAATGTAGTTAACAACACCTGGAATGGCCCTTTCCACCTTGGCTCGAGATCATAATCTCCTTCTAAGGAAACTTTCCCATCAGGGATCAATGCTCCTTCAGTTGGTACCTCACCTTTTGCTGCTTCTTTTGCCTCTCTGTCCACCAGCTCATTTCCTTCTTCTAATTCAGAGCTCACCTTCTGGTGTGCCTTGATGTGCACAATTGCCACCTTCTCAGGCAACTGGACTGCTTTCAATAATCTCAATACTTTCTGTGCATGTTTGATGTTTTTCCCTTGTGAATTTAACAGTCCTCTCTCCTTCCAAACAGCACCATGCGCATGTACGACTCCGAATGCATAGTTTGAGTCTGTGTAGATGTTTACAGTTCAGTTCCAGGGCTCTGGTCAGAGCAATCAATTCTGCTTTCTGTGCGGAAGTGTTTATAGGCAAAGGTCCAGATTCTGTTACCTCTTTGCAGGTGGTAACTGCATATCCAGGCTGATGACATGACTGCTCCCGTCAGTGAATCAGGTTTCCGTGTTATCCAAAGGGATACTCCTCAAATCTGGACGACTAGGATAGGCAGCCTCAATGGTTTCCAGGCAATCATGGTGTACAGGTTCTCCTTCATTACCACTGAGGAAAGAGGCTGGATTGATAATGTTAGTTACCACAATTTCAACATTATTCTGCTCTATCATGATGGCTTGATACTTTAGAAATTTCTGAGGAGAAAGTCAGTGTCCACCTTTTACTGCCAGTACGGCAGACATTGTATGAGATATCCCTGGAGGCCCAAGAAATTGAAGAGGCTTACCGTCCAAGCCACACAAATTTCCGGGTGGCAATTAGGATGTCGTCCACGTACTGCAGTATTCTTCCTTCCTCCGGTGGGGCTTCCCATGATTCTAAGTCTTTGGCAAGTTGTTCTCCAAACAAAGTGGGTGTCGTGGTTTAACCAATGCCAGACAGCTTTCACTCACTCACTCCCCCCCTTTCTTGCCCTCCCCTATTCTCAGAGGGACGGAGGGGAGAATCAGAAAGAATGCAACTCCCACGGGCTGAGATAAGAACAGTTTAGTAACTAAGGTATAACACAGATCACTACTGCTGCCACCAATAATAGTAATGATAAAGGAAATAACAAGGGAAGAGAATACAACACCCCATCACCAGGCGACCAATAACTTGCCCCCCCCCAGCCCGACCAAGCACCGACCGATACCTCCTCCAACCCTGCAGTCCAACTAGCCCTTCCGGGTAACTCCCAGTTCCCCCCTGGGCATGACATGCTGTGGTATGGAATACCTCTTTGGTCAGTTTGGGTCAGGTGTCCTGTCTCTGCTTCCTCCCGGCTCCCCTCCTCCCTGGCAGAGCATGAGACCCACAAAGTCCTTGGCCAAACCAAAACATCATTGTTTTTCAGCTCTGTTCCCAGCTGAAAGTCAAAACACAGCCCTGTACCAGCTACCAAGAAAGAGATAAATGACTGCCACTGCTAAACCCAGGACAGTGGGACTGTTCTTAAATCCCCGAGGCAGCACCGTCCATGTGAGCTGAGTTTTGCGCCCACTTTTGGGGTTTTCCCATTCAAATGCAAAAATTTTCTGACTGGCTTCATGGAGAGGGAGGCAAAAGAAGGCGTCCTTTAGATCTAAAACAGTAAACCAAGTTAGTTCTGGAATTAAGCAAGTCAGTAGGGTGTATGGATTTGCTACCACCGGGTAAAGATCTCCAGTGATCTTGTTGACAGCTCTCAAGTCCTGTACCACCCGATATGATCCATCAGGCTTACGGACTGGTAAGATAGGGGTATTAAAATCAGATTGACATTCTTTTAATAATCCTAACTGTAAAAAGTTTTCAATTATTGGACAAATTCCCTCCCTATCTTCTTTTCTTAGAGGGTATTGGTTAATCCTAACTGGTTGTTTTCCCTCCTTGAGCTTAATCTGTATCAGGGGTGCATTTCTGGCCTTCCCAGGTATGTTTGTAGCCCATACTCCCGGGAATACTTGATCTAATATATCTTCCCTAACCTTTTCTTCTGTCTGGTGTGTGATCAGTTCTAAGCTTAACATTTCTATGTATTGCTGATCATTTACTTTCAAGGTGATCTCGCCTTCTTTGAAGGTAATAGTGGCCCCCAGTTGTTCCAACAAATCTCTCCCCAGGAGAGCCTTTGGGGCATTAGGCATATATAAAAATTTATGAATGTCCCATTGCTTTCCCAATTGATATTTCAGTGGCTTACAAAAATATGCCTTTTCACTTTGGCCAGTTGCCCCTTTTACAGTAACACAGTCTCCCCCTACAGGTATCAATGCCTTATTCAGAGCCCAATATGTTGCCCCAGTGTCTACTAAAAATTCCACTTTATTTCCTCTAGTCCCTAGTTTTAATGTAACCAGTGGATCCGCTAGGGAGGATTCCCCAGGTCCCTTGTCAGTCTAGTTCCAATTCAGCCACCGGAGCCACCCCATGGCACTCTCTCCCCCCCAGGGCAGTCAGTTTCAAAGCACTTCTGTCCACATCTATTCAACAACCCCTCAGTCCCGTCTGTCAACATGTCTGTTCCCACTTGTTTACCTGCCCCAGCACCCATCCCGTGCTCAAACACAGGAGCTGCGCGAGCTCCCCTCCCTACCTTCTTTTTTTTCCTCACAGTTGCTCCCCCTGCGATGCCTGCCTGTGCAACAGCACTTCTGGTTTAACCCTTTCTTAACTCTGAATGTGAATGTGCTGCTTGTTGCAGGTGACAGCAATCTCCTCCTCCTTATCAATATCTGATAGGACAGATACAGAGGGTGCTTCTCTCGGAGGTATCTGTGATACATAATTTTCCCATTTATAACTTTCAAACGTCATTCCCCAATATCCCAGGCCGAACAACATCTCTCCAGCTTAGCTTTCCATTTTTTCCTGTCCTTTTCCAAAGCCAGAATTAGGGATCTGGCAGAGCTATTTAATTTCACATTCTGCCTGCCACTCCGGGTGGTTTCTTAAAGTGAAAAACATATCTGTATATAGTAC